CATAGTGAGAATGGTAACAACAGGAAACTTGGAAGGGAGCTGGGTGGCTTAATAAATACCAGCAAAGCACTTTGTAAGCAGCAGCAGCTGCCCCAGGAATCCACCTCACGAGATCCGAAATCCTCTCACTCACAGCCACAGTGGCAGGGGCTGGCCAGGTCTCCTCTTGGCTGTCCCCTGCTTTTCTGGTTGGCCTGATACAGTCATTAACTCTCTGATCAGGAAGGATCATTCATTCAAGGAATGAGCACCTGCTGTGCATCTGAGGCACTGGGAGACAACAGTGAAGGAGGCAGGCCGGACCCCGCCCCCATAACGGGGCTCTGTGCTGGATGTCTGTGTGCTCCTGTGATTATAAAACCCAGGGGCCCACAGGAAGGAAAGCTCCTGCCTGCAGCGGCAGAGCTGGCCAGTGAGGGCCAGGCACACGTACCCTGTTCATCACCCTTGTATTTCCAACCTCACTGGCACAGGGTAGGTGCCCAATCAATACTTGCTGAATTGATGAAAAAATGAATTAATAATGCCCAACGGAGTGCTCTTTCATGACTTCCATGGAAATAATTGGAAAGTGAGGATTTGTGTGGACTGAGGATTAGTGCTTCCTGTCATGTGGCCCCAATTCAATTCTCCCTCTGCAAAGGGTGGACTGAGAGAGCTGGAGGGGGTTTTATTCCTGCTCTCAGGCTACTGCATCTGCAGCCAAAGTAATACAACAACGTCAATCAGAAATCTGATTATGTCCAGATAATCACATAAACACTCACGCCCACAGATCTTCTCAGGTACACAGTCCTGAAGTCTAAAGGAAACCAGACCTGGGGGAGAAGTTTTTATTTTTTTAAAGAAAAAATAACTCCTAGTCACTGGTAGCATTTTATTCAGAATTCAACAAATTATATGCCTCATTTTTGTAAGGGTTGGGACAAGAATCCAAATGGAGGCTGTGGTGGACACAATAATGGCCCTGTGAAGACGTCCACCTCCTCATCCCTGTGCCTGTATGTCACCTTGCATGGCGGGGGTCATGGCAGATGCAGATGGGATTGAGGTTGCCAGTCAGCCAACTTTAGCGGGCAGATGACCCTGGGCTATCTGGGTAGGCCTGTGGAATCCCCTGGGTCTTGATAAATGACACAGGGAGGCACAAGAGAGAGAACAGAGGTGGCAGTCTGAGAAAGACTCGGCCTGACACTGCTGGCTTTGAAGACTCAGGAAGGGGTCATGAGCCAAAGAATGGATTCAGCATCTACACACTGGAAAAGGCAAAGAAACAGGCTTCCCCCAGGACCCCAGAAGGAACGCCACTCTGCCAACACCCGGATTCAGCCCAGGGAGACTTATTTTGGATTTCTGACCTCCAGAAATGTAAGATGATAAAGGTGTGTTTGAAGGTGCTAAGTTTCGGTCATTTGTTCCAGTGGCAACAGGAAACTAATATTGAGGTCCACTTACCATGTCTGCATACTTAAAGTTACAAATCAAGTCAATTACTTAGTAAATATAACATGTTCTACATTAACAGATATATCTTCTTAACCATTTGGGTTTGCAGATTTTCACCCTCCTGGGAGGTCCTCATCAGAACCTGGCAGTGTAGAGAAAGCAGACCCTAACTCCTACCCCTGCCCCGGACCTGACTCCCTTTCTCTTCCTTCTACTTCCTACCCGTTTCTGGAGAGGCACATGGCTGTGGGCACCGCAGCCTTGCTGCCCAGGCCCCTCCAGGGCTCCTGCAAGCAGCTGCTTCATTTGCATCATGAGATGTCCTCAACAGCATCTTCAAGGGTGCAGATCTTTTTGCTGCTGTGAGAGGGGCTTACACGGAATGATTCTGTCAGTCTAGTCATGTTTCACACAGAGGAGAACTCTGGACGAGGACAGGCGTGGTGGCAGGAATGCAATCTATTACAACAAGTTTTCTGGCCTAGTTATGCTCCAGGGATGTAGAATCATGTACCTTTGTGTGCAAGGAATCCTTTCTACAAAACCCCTAAGAAATAGCCATTCTACCTGTTCTTGAATACTCCTTCCACAGGAGGCTCACTACTTTACATGGCCATCTCTCTACTGGTGAGACCAGCCCTGCTTTCTTCCCACTTCCATGGATCGGTTTTGACCTTGGCCTCTGCATTTCCTTTTCCCAAGGTTGATTTGGTTTCCAAGCCTTCTCATGCATTGGAACTGTAGGATGTTCACTGACTGTGTAATAAATAGCAGGTTGTGATTCAGTAGGGTTGCCTCTTTCAGTAAATAGTCACTTCAGGGCCAGGAGGAATGAGGCATTTTTATGTGGCAACAAAATCCAGCTGCCCATACTCATCACCCAGCTGTGCCTAGGTGGTGATCTGAGCCACTCTTGGGTCTGGACAAGAGGGGCGCCTACCATGCAACCCCTGCTTTAGACCCCTTCTGACCCTGCACTCGCTGAGCCCCTCCCCACAGGATGAGGGTAGGGAAAGGGCCAAGGTGGGTTTGCCCACCCAGAGCGCACTGCCTCCTTCTGTCTAGACCGGGCTCTGGGTACCAGGACCCCAGAATCCCCTATCCAAATAGGCCTGGGGTTGATTCCAGGGCCTGCCAGGCCTGTTTTCCGGGATTGTCTTCAATCTCAGAATTCCAGAAGGCACAGGATTCTACATCCCTGAAACATAACCACATCTGAAAACTTGTTCTAACAGATTGAGTTCCTGCCTCCATTCTTGTCCCCTGTCCTGAGTTCTCCTCCGTGTGAAACATGCCTAGACTGAAAATATCATTCTGCATGAGCCCCTCTCACAGCAGCAAAAAGGTCTCCACTCTAGAAGGTGCTGTTGAGGACATGTCATGACTCAAATGGGACTATGTCTTCTCCAGATTTTCTTGGCAGAAATGGGAAGCTCCTGAGTGTAGTGACCAGGTGTCTTGAGAGTCCTATGTGGTCCCCAGAGCCAGACAGGGCAGGGTGGAGCTGGAAGGCCTTTCCCGGAGACACTCATTCTGCCTGCAGAATGAGGCCCATCTCTGCTCAACCTGGCGTGAAGACCCAGGGTCAGGGTGGATCCTGGATGGTTCTGTCCAGAGCCCTATGCAGACAAGAAAACTGAAGCTCAGAACAGGACAGGGACTTGAACAAAGTCAAATAATTAGTGCCATCATTTCTAGGAACAAGACCAGATTCCTTTCCAGGGCCCCTGGGCCCCTGAGGATCTGGCCCTGGTGATCTCTCCAGTTTCACAAAGGCTCCCAGCTATGTGGCCGTTTCTCTGATCTCCGAAAGGACTCTGCCCCCTGGGCAAAGACCCTGGGGTCTTTGCAACGCTGTCTCCTTTGCAAGGCACTAGGGAATGGGATTGACCAAGGGCCTCACAGCTCATCCGAGGCTGTGGATGGGATTTGACTCCAAGGTGCACTCTTAGGCACTGCACAGGACAGTGGGCGAGGGTGCTCCATAAAGGTTTGAGATGGACAGAAGCTTGAGAACAACCTTGGCTGGAGCGCTGAGTAGTGGCTTCCTCTTGCTGGATAGAGTAGCAGCTATGCTTATTGCAGTGTGCAGCAGTCAACAATTGTTCATTCTTTCAGATTGCATTTTCTTTCAGGAGCCAAGCCCTGTGATGGTTCCTGGAGTGGGCTCCAGGGCTGCAGATACCTCTTGCCTCCTTGATTTCTCAGTCTCCCCCCTGAATCCCTGGCTGAGAAAGAAGCACCACTGATCACCGGCCACACACCGAGGTAGAATGTGCACACAGATACAAACCCTGCAGGTGGGTACACGGGCGCCAGAGGCTCACAAACGGCCTCTCCTCACCCCTTCCCAACACCGGAGATACACAGGCTCTGAGGTGTCTGTGCCCTCAGGGGGCTCATTTGTTCCACACTCCCTGGAGCTAGCCCTGTTATCTGAATCACAAAGCCTCTTTACAAAGCACCAAGTTCTCACTGCTTCCTACTAGTTCGATTTTAGACAGATCTGTGTGCGATTGTGCAAACGTGGATGCATGAAAGGGGCTTTGCGTTCTGATACCAACCCTGCCAGTGCAGAGGCCCTGCTGGCCTGGGAGGGCATCTGGAGGAACATCAACGCAAAACTGAAAATAGAGTTTAGTTCTAGGGACTAAAAGGAGCCATGTTTCTTGCACACCTGAGGGTGCAGACTACAATTCATGTCTGTCACCCATGGTCACGTCTGATCACTGGCAAAGAGGGGGATGACAGACGGAGGGAGAGAAGCAAGAACAGAGAGCACAGAAATGAGGAGCTCAGACGGGGCAGTGGGAACCAGGGCACTGAGCCAGAGGGAGAGAATACCTGTGAGCCAGCAGCCCCACCTGACTCCTGGGTTCTCCATGCTGTCCAGGGTGCGAGCTTCATCCAAGGACAAACCCTCCATTTTTCCATTGCCTTACAGCTTACAGACTTGTACATCACTATAGCGTTTAACCCCCAACTCTCCCTGGAGGTAGGGACTGTAAGTTTCTACACTTCAGAGATAAGTGGGTGAGGTTCAAGTTTCCATCACAAATCTGGGATAGGGGCATGACATGAACTCCACGTCGCTGTGTTCTAATTCTGTCAAGAGGGATCACATGTCATACTTGTCTGGCTTCTACTCCGTTACTCAGCCACGAAAGAACCTCCATTTGTGGTCTCAGCACCCTCATGCTCCTGGAAACCTTCTGACGCTCTCCTGGGAGGGAGTCAGGCAAGAGCCCTCCCCTGGGAATCCATTTCCTTCTGTTCCACATTTCCTGTAAGTTGTTGTGTGGCCTCGGGAGGTCCCCTCCCTCAGCACCCTCAGTTTTGTGATGTGTGAAATAACTGAGACCCTGCTCTGGGATCTGGGCACCCCCACTGTGTATTTGTGATTTAAATGGCCTTATCGCACTTTTCTGTTTAGCTATCAGGGCCCATGTGCATTGGTTTGCTCAGGTTGATATCACAAGGTGCAGCAGATGGGGCAGCTTAAACGAAAATTCATATCCTCCCAGTTCAGGAGCTTGGAAGTCTGAGATGAAGGTGGTTTCCCCTGAGGCCTCTCTCCTTGGCTTGCAGACGGCAGCCTTCCTTCTGAGTCTTCACATGGTCTTACCTCTGTGTGTGTTTATGTCTTATTCTCTTCTCACAAAGATACCAGTCATATTGGATGAGGGCTTACCCTAACGACATCCCTTTAATATAATTACCCCTTTAAAGGCCCTATCTCCAAATACAGTCCCACTCCAAGGTCCCGTGGGTTAGGCCTTCAGCATGTGAGTTTGGGGAAGACAGAACTCAGCCCGTAGCTTCAGGATGGCCGCCTGTGGATAGCCAGCCATACCCTGGTTGTATGAAGGAAGGGATGGGCCACTCCTCCAGGCTCTAAGCCCCTTCCAGGCTGCGAGCCCATTTCTTCTCAGCAGCCTGCCCCAGGCCCGCAAGAAAGGAGCCCACCTGGTGTCCTATGACTGAATTGTGGGCTGGCACTGCCAAGCCTGGGGAGGGCAACGTCCCTGGAAGCCTTAGGGACTTGCCAGGCCTGCTCCTTTAGGTTCGACCTGGGAGTAGGGAGGCTGAGGGGTCCTCAGGCTGGCGCACGCTTCACAGCGGCCTGCCATTGCCCCCAAGGCTGGAGAGGATGAGTCCCACAAAGTGGTCAGGGTGGACTCCGCCTTCTGCCCAGCAGGCATCCAGCCTCCTACTTGTAGAGCGGCAGCGCAGCACCAGGTGGGCGGATGCTGAGCTCTGCGCCCCGCCCCTCCCCGCCTCCCACATAGTGCCGGGCTCTCCTGATACACTGCAGGAGCTAGCTGCAGTGGCCCGTGCCCAGGGGACCTGCCTGGAAGGCAGCCCAGCCTGGGGCCCTTGTCCCTCACTGGTGCCTACCTGCCAGGTGGCCTGCCGAGCTTCATAAATGCTGCAATTTGTGAAATTAAAGTCTCCTTCCTGCTTGCATCTGGCCGCATGGGGTCCGGGAGCCGGGCATGGGAGGTGAACGTTGAAAGCTTCTGATTGGTTCCTGAGCCCCCACAGCAGCCCTAACCCCACGAGCTTCTCAGGGTTTATTAAGTGGATATAGTAGCCCTGATTCCCAGCTGTTCAGTCTTCCCAGGCAAGTGAGCACAACTGATTTTTTTCTCCTGTGAATCTGTCCATTGTCAGTTAATTTGCAGCCCTCCACCCCACGACTAGGATCTAGGTTGATACAGAGGGAATATTTTCTTCCCAATAGACTCTTAGAAGCAAAAACTCACAGAAGCCAGGTGAAGAGTGCTGAGAAATGGTGAAAGGCACCCGAGGGGTCTAGGTGGCGTATTGACAGGCCCACATGCAGTGTCCAAGGACAGGGAAGTACGATAGGGAGGATTCCAGCACACGATGTGCTGCAGGGTGCTCCGGATGCTGGGCACTCCTTGGAGGGGGGATGGGGCATCAGGGAGGGCTTCCTGAAGGAAGAAACATGTAGAAGTCAGATACACAGAGTGTTCTAGACCAAGGGAGGAGGCTGAACAATGGCTTGGGGGTAAGAAAAAGTACAGGTTGACTTTAGAACGTAGTGTAGCTCCCCCTCCCTTGCCCTACCCTGCCCTGCCCCAAGAGAGGGGAAGGCTAAGGGGTTGTGGTGAGGCTGGTGGGGTGGGCAAGTGGCCTGAGGCCTTGGCAGCCAGGAAGGAGAGGAGCTTGGGTTTCATGCTGGGGCCGAGGGCAGTCTTGCAAAGGCTTTAAGCCGGGCAGGTCTGTGGCAATTTTAAACATTTTATTTTAGAAAGTTCCCTCCGATGAGGAATTGATTTCAGGGGAGTGGCAAGGAGGCTAGGGCTGCCTCTGGGCCAGCTCCTCAGCCTGGGCCAGGAGACCCTCTCACCCCTCCAGTGTGGCCTGCTGTCCCCACATAAGGTACTTTCAAGCCCAGAGTGGGCCCTGCTCTGAGCTCAAGCCAGAGTTTGAACACTAGAGCCTCATCTACAGTAACCCAAGGGACTGTCGGGAAAAGCTCAGCGCTGGCCTGGGGTCAAGGCTGAGGGAGAAGGGGGCGACAGCCTGTGTGGGAAGAAGCCGCTAACAATGGGGGCAGGTTCGGGGCTTAAGTAACATCTGGACGGACAGAGATAGCCAAATTCCACCAGGGTCAGAGAGCCTTCCAGAGCCTGTTGATGAAGCAGTCCTCCAAGCCTTGAACCTCTGCATGCGTTTCTGGAAATACCGAGGCTGGTGCCCGGAAGGACAGTGGGGAGCAGGCAGGGGGTCTGCGGAGGGACAGAGGGTATGAAATCAGGTGTGAAATTGGGTGACTGGTCTCAGAGCTAAATCTGGGGAAGGAGCTTTTCTTGGTGGCCCCAGGTTTGTTGGGTCATGTGCTGATGGCTCGGGGCTGAGGGACACAGGAGATCACCGCTGTGCTGCTCTGAAGGCTGAGCAAAGGCCCAGAAGTAGGGGAGACCTGGATGATTTGGGATCTTCTTGCAGTTCCATCTGAGAGAGCAAAGAGATCAGAGGAAGCATGGCGGACCGGAGGATCGCCTTTCTCCGTGGACCCTGTCCAGAGTGGCTGCTCAGGGCTCAAGTCCCGCTTTGAAGGGGAGGGTCCATTCTGCTCTGGCCAGTGGGCCAGTGGAGCTCCTGTCGCTGAGCCTGCTGAGGGAGATGCCTGTGCTGCACGGGATTTCAAGCCCTTGCTCATGGACCTAACAGCCCTGGTTCAAATCTTGGCTCTGCTCCCTTGGGAAGGTTGCATCCTGTCTCTTGGCTCATCTCTGGGTCTCTCAAGTGGGGGCGAGCTCAGATTTGACGGTTCATTTTGTGGATCTTACAAGTCAATACACATTTGTGGCCGTGGGTGGCAGTCACGCAGACGGCCATGGATGTGATGGAGTTCTGGACACACAGTCCCAGATCTGCCACCTTGGCATTTGAGAAAAGCGCAACAGCGGGAAGGTCACTCTCTGACCTTCTCCTGCCCTTCTCCCCTGAAGCAGGCCATAAAAGAAATTCCTGACCTTCTCCTCAAGTGGGGCATGAGACCTTCCTTTAAGAGGTGCCTTCCCGGACGGGCGCGGTGGCTCACACCTATAATCCCAGCACTTTGGGAAGCCGAGGCGGGTGGATCACGAGGTCAAGAGATTGAGACCATCCTGGTCAACATGGTGAAACTCTGTCTCTACTAAAAATACAAAAATTAGCTGGGCATGGTGGCGTGTGCCTGTAGTCCCAGCTACTGGGGAGGCTGAGGCAGGAGAATTGCCTGAACCCAGGAGGCGGAGGTTGCGGTGAGCCGAGATCGTGCCACTGCACTCCAGTGTGGGTAACAAGAGTGAAACCCCGTCTCAAAAAAAAAAAAAAGAAAAAAAAAAAGAGGACCCACAGGAAAGGAAAATCCTTCTCCATGAAGATGCAGGGATGCAGAGAAGAATCTGAACAAACAGGCCTTCTAAATGCCACCTAGATCATCACATCAAATCATACCGCCTTGTCCAGTTATACTTCTCCAGTTACCTGCTTCTTCATCAGACAGCAAAAAAATCACACAGATTTCCCTGTTTCTTTGGGTCTTCATTTCTAAAGGCTGCCATGTCACACAAAACTTAAATTACTTGGTACGCTTTTCTCTTGTGAATCTGTCTTTTGTTACAGGTGCCTCAGCCATGAACCTACTGATGGATGAGGGAAGAAATATTTTCCCCTAGCTGCACTTTTAAAACCAGCTTATGGGGCTGTTATGGGACCTGGAAACAACGGCCTTGAGAAGGCTTGCATGCTCCAAAGACCTGAGCATATATTGCTATTCTAGGTTTAGACTGGGCCTCTGACCAAGAAAGGGCCCCCCGTCAGGAAGTCTGAGCTGAAACACTGCAGAAAGCAGAAAACGGGAACACACACAGGCACGCACGCACACACGCACGCATGCACACATGCTTCAGCACCGGGCAATTTGTTGAAATGCAGTTTCTCTGGCCTCATCTCAGATTTACTGAGGTCAGCTCTGGGGGCGGAGCCAGTGGCTCTTGAGGTTTCCGTGAACTCTCCTGGGGATTCCAGTGCTGACCCAAGATTGAGAACCACTGAGCCGGACGGGTGGATCTTCCTAGTTCTGGCCTCAGTCTTGGCAGCTGTGCCCTCTGACCCAGCAAGAGGCCTGTCATCCTCTAAAGCTGTCCCTGAGACCTTTCTGCTCACCAGGCCTAGCAGAAACAGGCCCTGCAGGGCAGCCTTCTGACTGCCTAATATTGTGGGCATCCTTTACCCAGCGTCTACAGTCTCTCCTGCACATGAATAACCTTGAATAGCCAGAATTTGCATAATAGCTCTCCTGCCCCCTTCATGGGCCTACATTAATTGTTTTAGAATACTATTTCCCCATCTCATTGCCTAGAGTGGTGGCTGTTTGATTCCATGGACCTCAGAACCCCCTGGAGAGCTTGTGGAAAGGTAGGCACTCAGCCCCGCACCTTCTCCGCTCCACAGTCCTGTAGGGTGGCTTGAAGATGCATGTGTACTTGACAAAAGATTGGGATGAGGGCAGGGGCTTGGTCAATGAATGGCTATGGTAGTAGTGGGCAGGCATGGGGGTGTCCGATGGAGATCAAGGGAGCACCCCTGCAGCAGTTTTCAGGCCCTGGCTTAAGAAAGGGATGGCCTGGCTCAGGCAGTGCTGGCCTCCCTGTGCGTGAAAGCAAATGATGTAGGAAAGGGAGAGAAATTCTGGGTACTGGTCCTTGGAAAAAGGTCCTCTGGGTGGTCTCCTCAAGATGTAACCTGAAAAACAATTGCTTGGCTTCCTGAGCACCTTGCTGGGCTCTGTGCATGCGGTCCTTCACTTAGTTCTCCTATAACCCCTTGGGGTACGGATTTTATCCACGACTCCACAGAGGTTAGAGAAGGCTTGTCCATAATCCCGTAACAAGGCAGGCTTAAGCACAGCCCCGTTCCCTTCCAGAGCCCGCACCTTCAGCATCGTCTGACACTTCCTCCTCCTGGGAGAGAATGGCAAGGGCAGATAGCTCACCTGGCTCCCGGTGAGCTTGCAAAAAAGCCCCAAAAACGTCCCTTCCAGCCCTGCTCTCCAGATGAGGAGGTTTGGGGGTGTGCTCTCTGCACCTACATGCCCTGGGGCTCTCTGCTCTGGAATGTGAGTTCAAAGTCCCGTTTCTGGTTTGCAGTGAAGCTCTGAAATATGCTAACACACTTCAGAAAGACCTCAGAATTTGGGGATGAGGATGAGGCAGGGTGCCTGTGATCATGTCCAGGACTTCCCCGGCCTGCAGAGGAAGAACAGGGAGACGCTAAACCCAAGAGGCTAACACGTTGTAGCAAAATTTCACCAAGAAAAAGCCAGCCTGTGCTGGCCTGTGCTGCCCTCTGCTGGTCATCAGTGGTACTGGCTGCAGCTGGCCGGGGCTGGCTCCCTGGGCTGGGCGGGCCTCAATCCAGGCCACTGGGTGGGTGGGGGATGCAGGGAATTGTCTGAAGACCTTACGCTGGCCCCCTTCTGCCCCAGCCCAGACAAGTCTACATCAGTGGTGTCCAAGGCCGTGGGCCGGCAGCTGACTGAGAGCTGGGCACTCCCTTCCATCCTGTATTTTATTTATTGAGATGAAGTCTCTCTCTGTCCCCCAGTGCAGTGGTGCCATCTTGGCTCACTGCAACCTTCTCCCGGTTTCAAGCGATTCTCCTGCCTCAGCCTCCTGAGTAGCTGGGATTACAGACTTGCGCCACCATGCCTGTCTAATTTTTGTATTTTTAGTAGGGACCATATTAGCCAGGCTGGTCTGGAACTCCTAACCTCAGCTGATTCACCTACCTCAACCTCCCAAAGTGCTGGGATTACAGGCATGAGCCACCGCACCAAGCCCCAGCTTGTTTTTAGAGGAGGTTGATAATCATCTTACCCTTCAACCACCCCCTGCACTTCCCTGTCAACCCAGGTCCCTGGCTGCTGCTCCTGGTCTTCAGGGACCAGGAAAGACAGCAGCTTCCCCCTGAGCTTCCCTGGTGCACATCCTACCTTCACCTGAGTGCTCTTACAGTTCCCTATCATGGTCTCCTAGGAGGGCTGTGATGATACCCTAGCCAGGATGCCGCCGGATTGGGGGCTGGAAAGCAAAACCCCAGCGGCCCTCTCACTCCAGCCCATAGGATAATATTAACAGTACTTGTCATTAACTGAACACTGACTATATTTCATGCCGTATTCTAAATGTGTGTGCTCACACACATACTTAACCTTGTATGTATATGCATGCATGCGTAATTGTCAATATGAATCTTAACACATACGTACTTAATCTTCATAAGAAATGTATGAGGGAGGTACGGATAGTATTCTCATGTTATAGAAAACAAAAAATTGAGGCTCAAAGAAGTTCCACAAATAGTTTGGGGTCCCACAACCAGTAAGTAGGATTTGAACCTAGAGAGCTTGGTTCAACTTTGGTCCTTTTTCTTAACCGTGGTAAGAAAAGTGGGCACAAATCTGCAAAACCCTTTTTGTGGCCAGGCCAAAGCAATGCGGCCCAATCAAGGCATTCGGGCTGGGAAATGGGGGCTAAAGTGGGCAGGAGGCCGCTGTGCGTGGAGACTGGGAAAGACTGCGGTCTCTATAGCCAGGTGGGCCTGAAAGACGGTCCCCCACTGCCCTGACGAGCTGTGAAATCCTGGGCAAATTGGTGCCTTGTTCTAAGCCTCAGTGTCCTCATCTGTAAAATAATAAGGGTTTTGGTAAGGGTTAAATGAAACAAAATGAGGACTTTAGCATAGTGCATGATGCATAGCAAGCCCTCAACAGAGGCGGGTTTTCTTTATTCCTTTGACATTGGACTTAGGCTACCAAATGATCTTGAGGAGGCAGAGGCAGTGGTGATGACAAGGATGCTGTTGGGCTACCTGCTCATGATTACTGAGCATCTACTCTGTTTACTCAAGAGCTATTAATGGCTACTGTTTTGCTAGACTGCATGAGCTCTGGATTTACTTTTTGTTTCATTTCAGTGGTTCAACCATGAAGCTTTTAAAACCATTGGTACCAGTGGGATGTGGTGGCTCACATCTGTAATCCCAGCACTTTGGGAGGCCAAGGTGGGTGGATCACCTGAGGCCAGGGGTTTGAGACCAGCCTGGCCAACAACGTGAAACCCACCTCTACTAAAAATACAAAAATTAGCCAGATGTGATGGTGGTGGCTGTAGTCCCAGCTACTCAGGAAGCCAAGGCAGAAAAATCACTTGAACCCAGGAGGAGGAAGTTGCAGTGAGCCAAGATCACACCACTGCACTCCAGCCTGGGTCACAGAGCAAGACTCTGTCTCAAAATAAATAAATAAATAAATAAATAAAATAAAAATAAAAACATTGGTACCTGGGTTCTACTGATTTGATTAGACTGAGACTGTACCAGGTCATGATACTTTCTTTGTGTGTGTGAACCTCAAGTGGTTCAAGTGTGCATCTGGGATTGAGAGCCATGGAGAATATTTCCCTCCTGCCCAATCTTCTCCTATGTAACACTCCTTTAATCCCTCAGACCTCAGCTTAAATGTCACTTCTTTAAAGAAACACTCCCTCATCACTTAGACCAGGCCCATTTTTTTTTGCCTTATACCTTTGTAAATCCCTATTCCTTTCCTTCAGAGAGAATTTATCTCATTTATATTTATTCTTGTGGTCATTTCAATAATATCTGTCACTCTCACTAGATAGTTTACCCATCTGTAAAATGGGGATATTAATTTCCACCTCACAAGTTTGTAGTGAGGATATAATAACAAAATGTAGGGAAAGAGCCTGGTTCAAGGTGGTCTCTGTGAATGGTTGCTCACTGCATGCTGTCCCAGGGGTCTCTTGGGATAACACGCCATCACTTTCTAATTTCCAGAAATGAACACTTGACAGCTTCAGAGCCTGAGCCCAGCTTTAGTCTCTCTGGATTTAGGCTACCACGTGGTTCTCATGTCCCATCTGAACTTCTCTGATTATGTGGGCTCATATCACAGCGCCCCTCCCCAAGCCATGAATATTCTACTGAGCCCTCAAGTGCCAGCTCTGAGATAGTATTCTTGTTGTGTCCAGCTGGCCTGTCTTTTTAATAATCGAGATCATTTGCACAATAAATATTAACTAAGGATTAGGTTAGGTGCCAGGCGCCATTCCAAATACACATATTATCTCATTTAAGCAGTTTTGCTGTTTAAATAAAGCTAATCCTCTTGTTTCTAGTTAAAACCTACAATACATGTCTGCAAGGGCAGGAGTTGATATAAATGAGCACAGGAAGGGTTTTTTTTTAAAGGGGTGATAAGTCCTTTGACTGTTGGGAGCTCAGGCTTTATCAAAAGCCTCTGTTTTTAGCTCTATCTAATTGTTTCTGCACAAGCCCAGAACCGCCAGATTGCCCTACTTTTAAAGAGAACCCAGCAACTTGCTTTTTTATATGAAAACCTCAACTATAAGAAGATGGCTCAATTTGGAAAAGAAAAAAAGAGAGAGAGACTGAGAGAGAGAGAGAGAGAGAGAAAATGCCATTGAGACCAAACAGCTCAGCCATGAGATGGAATCTGCCCACCAGCAGCCTCTCAGGCCTGAGCCTTTGAGAAGAGAGTGGGATGTCCCAGGGGATGGCAGAGGCAGCTGTCAGTGGGGAGGTAGAGGCAGGAGGAAGCATGGAGGGCAAAGGGCAAAAACAGAGCCATCTCCTCAAGTCCAGAAAGGTGCTGAGCTCATGAGTCCTGCTGGGTAAGTGGCAGAGCCTTGGCGGGAATGCCTGGCTTCCTTGCACCAGGTCTGGGGAGCTCAGCCCAAGTAGACCCTGGGTGCCCCAGCAACCTCTGTCTTCCAGGGCCCCCGTGGGCTTGGCTGAGAAGGAAATGAGGAGGTCTTCTCTCTGCTTGGATCCAGTCGGGAGAACTTGTTACTACCGGCCACCACCCTCTCCCACCAGGTGACAGCTTGAAGTGGTAAGTTCCGCCATTGAACCCAAGTGATTTCCTGGAGATGTCTCAGCTGCGTGGGGATCCCAGCTGTGAGCTGAGGTCTCTGAATGTGATTTCTTTCCCCATTTTCTCGGCATCACCTAAATCCCCCAGATTCTCGCATAGAGAAGGGGAAAGCCTGTCAGGAGAGAGGTGCTCCTGTGCCCTCCCACAGCCCATCCTTGGTTTTAAGAAGATAAATGAATGGGCATTTCTTCCACCGCCAGGTGTGGAGGGCAGGATCTGTGCTGGCTTCTCACACATTCCACACAACTGTTGAGTAACTGGGGAAGATGCCTCCTGACAGGCAGTGGCAGCAAGGTCTGCTGGCTCCTTCGCCAGTCTAGCTTGTAAACCTTAACGCCCGCTTCGATTCACAACCCAATTGCTTGTAAAATGAGGCCACTTTCCATAAGTCTTAATTGGAATCTCTTTCCCTGCCTCAGAGGCAAGGGCTGGAACCGGCTTTGCCAGCATCTGCAGATGGAGTAAGGCAGGAGGATTTGTCCTGCGGGAGGGGAGGGAAGGGGCTGGAGGGACAGCGCCCTTTGCCTTCCTCTCCTACGAGTGGGACTGGATCCTGCCTGGACGTTCCCGGCAGTGACAGTGAGCAAATTCTGGGATCCATGAGGCAGGCTGGACCCTCATCTACGAGACCAGGGAAGGGGTCAGTTAAAGGAAGGGCTGAGATCAGTAACAGCACAGTAACAGTAGGGGTGACAGTCATCACTGCAGCGACAATCATGGGTCACCTCCGTGAGCCAGGAACAGCGTATGACCTCACATACTCCCCATGCCCACGACAACTCTTTCCCAGCTCTGTTCTTCACTGCTTCCTGACGAGGGGCTGGGCCTCCCAAGGTGAGTCTCTGACTTAGCAAGCACTTCCTGAGTGCCCGCTTTACGTGCAGGACTGAAAGGTATACCTGCTGCATGTGAGGACTTTCCCATCCCTGGGAAGAGATGAACGTGTGGGAAAGCCACCAAGCACCAAGCAATGTTAAGTGCTACACTAGTCCTACAGGGTGTGATGGGAGGCAAGGAAGTAGCAGTGTAATCTCCTTCCACTGGAATCCTTGTCAGGGAGAGGATCTGTGACCTGGGCTTTGAAGGGTGTGTAGGAGTTTGACAGCTGGAGAAGGTGGAAGAGAATGCTGCGCAAGTAGAACAATTTGAACAAAACATAGAAGTATCAGGGAAATAAAAAAGCATTTCAGGTGCTTCGCCTATGGTACGAGAATGTGTATATATAAATGTTATATAACATATTTATCTATGTAACATAATACATAACTAAAATATATATGTTACATATTATATATACTATATATTGTATATATAGTATATATATTATGTAAATATATATTATATTTTTATATATATTATATAATATATAAATATATTTTATTTATAACATATTTATATAAAACATATATACTATATATTATATATAAAAACATATAATATATAAAATATATATTTTATACATAATATATTATACATAATTCATTAATATATTTTTATTATAAAATATATATTATATATAAAAGTATGTATTATATATTATATATAGTTTATATATATATGTAGGGGAAGAATAAGGAAGAGAGACTTGGCTGAAGGAAAACTATGATGAGCCTCCAAAGCCATGCCGTGAAGCTTGGATTTTATCTTGTCGACACTGGGGACCCACTGAGGGGTGTAGCAGAGGCAGTGGCATGGCCAGCCCAGCCCAGGGTTTTAAGATGTTTCCCCTGGTGGCTGATGTGGAGAACAAGGTTGCTGAAGAAAGATGCAGGAGGCAGGACTGGATCAAAGAGAAGTTACCAGGAAAGCACCTTGGGCTCAATGAGAGAAAGTATTATTATTATTATTGTTGTTATTATTATTGAGACAAAGTCTCACTCTGTTGCCCAGGCTGGAGTGCAGTGGTGCCATCTCGGCTAACTGCAACCTCTCCTGCCTGGGTTCAAGTGATTCAATGGGAGAAATTCTTAACACAGTAGGCCATCATGTGATGGAAAAGGGTGGTATCCAGAAGCGGCAGAGGAGTGCAAGCAAGGGGCAGACCTCTCACTTCCTGCTTATTTAGCTCCCGCAGCAGACTGGCAAACCCCAGATACCTATTACCTAGCACCAGCCACAGCTGGGCAGGGATATAGAACCAGACTCTGATCAAAGGGGCATTGAGAAGGGAAAGGCGGGTCACCTGGCAAATATTTTCCTCCCCACATAAAGGGTGGGAAGGTGAAGGTGACACACATTTTTCTTCCTACTGGCTTTGGTGTTGTGAGGCTGTGATGTCTGTGGCAGACACAGCCACCCCATGAGTATTGATGGGACAGCAGAGAGAATCCCAGAAACCACCCACAGCCTGGACGTAGCGGAGCTGCCCCAAAGTTCTCAACCCTGATCTCTTGCTACATAAGACGATAAGTATCAAGGCTTACGCTATGTTTGTGTCAGATAGTATGTTCCTTGTTGCTAAATTCTATCAGCCTGGAATATTGTTTTAATAAAAACAAAATAAGACAGCACGAAGCCCAAGTCAAGCTCCAAAGCACGGGTGAGAAATGCATGCTTTGACTGTGGTTTTCATGGGGAAACTGAAGAGGTCTTGCACCCTATCTTCTGCACTCTGAAAAGCCCCTTAAGCATACCTGCCCTGGCTCTCAAGTTCCTTACCCTCGGGGGGCGGCCATAGCATCCCCACAAGTCCTTCCACCACCTTGCCT